ACAGTTCGCATTTATTGCCCTATCCAGATCAAATTTTGCACAAATCATTTGTTTGGCCCAAGGGTGAACCCTATTGAAATTGGAGATAATCGGTCAAAATTTAGATATAGCTCCCATATATATCTTCGCCCGATTTGCCTTTTATGGTGCACCAAACGTGTAATATCAGCCCGAAAAGTATGGAATTTTGTACATACCACCAAATTAGGCGTGAAAATAAGTATGCCAAATTTGAAATCGGTTCAGATATAGCTATAGCTCCCATATAAATTGTTCATCCGATTTGTTACTTTTGTCCTCCGCAGCAGTAATATGCACTCTGTAACAACAATAATTGGAGAAATATATCAAATACAGGTCAGAAATACATTTGCTAAATTTTATCGAGATCGGTTCAGATTTGGATATAGCTCCCATATATAACTTCGTCCAATTTACCTTGGATTGCGCACCAAACGTCTAATATTTATCCAAAGATTTGGCACTTACGATCGAATTGAGTTTAGAAGCTAGTATGTCAAATTTGGTGAAGATCGGTTAAGATATAGCTATAGCTCCCATATATATTGTTCATCCGATTTGTTGTATTTGTTACCCATTGCCGTAATATGCACTCCGTAACATATTCCCAAGTCCAAATTTAAAATATACAAATGCTTCGGCATATTTAGTCCTTTGAACTTTAAATTATATTTATATTTATAGCTTGTATGATTGAATTCTCCTATGAAAACTTTTAATTGTTATGCGCAGCTCTACTAAATTAGGGTATCATAAAGTCGGCCCCGCCCGACTTTAAGACTTTCTTTACTGGTTTTATTTTCACTTATAATATTGAAGTGTAATATTTTTTCACTTTACAACACAGGTTGGTGTTATTACATACAGATTGCAATTATTGTCCGATCCCCACGAAAATTTTCATAAGGGTAGAGTTAGTCTCAAAAGGGCTAGGCCTATTGTTTTCAAAGATATCCGCAATATATTTTTGGGGGTTGAAATGGTCCAACAATTAAAAATGTTTCTGATTTTTCAGCCGTTATAAAGGTCACAAATAGATACCAAAGGACACGAAATTTCGCTTGAAGTTGGAGTTTAGGACAGCGGGTAAAATGGAATACTACTTTTGTGTGAAAAAAATACCAGCATTACTTACAGGCGATATTCGAAACACTCAAAAGGCGAACTTCTGGCTTTTTTATGCTGATTTCGTTGACAAATATAGCCAAATATGGTAGACAAGCAACTCATATAGATGACTCTAAATTTGGAGATGCAGGGGGGCCTCTTGCTTTTGGGATGATCGTAAAATATTTAGGGGTTCAAATGAACCAAAAACAGAAAAAATTTCCTGATCACACAATTGAAGCCAATCGACACGCCTGAGAAAAAAGTTAAGGGCAGGGAAAAATGCTAGCATTTTGGATGACTATTGGATTATATTTAGCTGTAAAGTGGATAGCTAAAAATTCTCGGCTATATTTAACATTTATGGATCTAGCGAAATCAGTAATTTGTGATACGAAACTATTGTTGTCCAATCAAAGGTACGGTACCTGCATCAACTTATTGTTGTGATTGCTTGAAGAGGAGACATACGTAAAACTGGGTGTTGATATGAAAGGTATAAAAAAGCAAAATAAAAACGCAAATGATTAGTTTTTAATCCAAATAAGTTTGCTGGTTTATTGAATTCAGATTTTATTTTCTTTTCTACAAATAATTACCTTTTGGTATGTGAAGTGGCGACAGAGGCCTTGATGCTTAAGCTTTCGATACTCAAAGACAAGTGAACGCAGAGGTTCTAAGTGATCGCAGAGGATCCCTTGTCTATTTCTAATACATATGCAAATGCAGACAAGTGAACGCAGAGGTTCTAAGTGATCGCTGAGGATCCCTTGTCTCATTTTTAGTACATTTACAACTATTTGAGTGTATCGAGGTGAGCAACAAAAACAACAACTCAGACAATTCAAATACCACTACCTCCTCGAAGATAGTTTGTAGAGGAGTTGTCAGTGATGTCAATCAGCTTCGGTAATTGCTTAAGCTGAAGTTGCAGGACAACGTATCTAACATATACATTGCCGCCCACCTTGATACATATATCCATATGAATCAACAACATATACCTAGAGATATTCATAAATTTAGATAAATACATTGATATAAACATGTTTGACGTAAGTTTAGTTCATTTTGAGCATTTTATTAATTTTAATTCATATTTTAACATTTTTTTTTTTTTTTTGTTTTTCAAAAAGTGACAGTTTAAGAAAACTACAATTATAATGGCACAGGACCCGATATTATCCAACCAAATTTAGTATATATTGCTGTAGGAAGACCAGGGTTGGAAATGACGCGCGGTTCTACTATTTTATGATAAATTTCTGGCCCAAGTACCATAGCGATTGGACCAGCGCGATCAAAATTAGGATCTGCTAATTCGAGACCTACAAACGAATCGCGTATGTTAGGAGGAGCCGAAAAGGAAGGTGTCACGCCACGTGTTATGTTTGCGACGCTAGCGGTTACAAATTGTCTCTGCGACGGATCAAAACGTGACATAATCATAAAATCCGCGTAAGTCATATGATTAACTGACGTGGTAGGCCAACGAAGATCATTAACAAGTGACACACAGACTTGACTTACGGGACAACAAGGATCTAATAATGCCCGTACCGCAACGGTTGACTTAGGCAAACAGAGACGAACAACAACAGTGGGGAACAGGGACATTATGCGACCTATCGGTAACATCAATGTGGGTAAAACGTGTCTCGGTGGTACTGGAAACGTACCTCGCGGAACAATGGATTTGTGGGTGCGTTGTGCCGTGTCCAAGTTCTTCGTACGCGGAGCTTCATGCAATAATGTGTGGTGCTTCTTCGTACAAAATTTGCACCTTTGACTAATTTGGCAGAATTTTGATACATGGTCCGGACGTAGACAGTTATAGCAGCAACGGTGGTATGTTACAGTCCGAATACGTTTTTCAAGCGCCATCCTTCGGAATACCGAACATTTCTGCAACGCGTGAGGTTGGGTGCACAGCAGACACAGGACCATAGAATTTATAGGCGCGCGTCTGACGCGGGAAAGCGCTGCTGTAGCCACTGTTTGGGAGGGCTCAGAAATGGACGCACGGATGTCAGCAGCGGAGGTGGTCGGAACAAGTTCCACCACAGGATCACCATCTGGAACGGAACTATTTGGGTTGGTTGCCCTCAATTCCGCTTCTAGCTCGCGGTCGGACATCACCGCATCATCATAGTCGGACAAGACAACTTCTGGGAAAAGTTCCTGCGATGCCATAACTATTACAAATAAACACGACATCACACAAAGGATGAGAGTTAATTTGGGATGCTTAGTGTGGTAAGACGACTAACTTAACGACTGGTCGCCTGACAATACCCTGGTCCGTTCGTACATCCACTACACGAACATGACCATCATCACCGGGATGAATACCAACAACACGACCTAGTTTCCAAGAAGTGGGTGGCAATTTTTCATGCCGAATTACAACTAAATCATTAATCTCAACGTTTCTTTGAGGGTATTTCCACTTGTAGCGCTTATTTAAACTAAACAAGTATTCTTCTTTCCACCTTACACAAAACTGATGAGTTAAAGCTTTTAGTTTCCGAAAGCGATTGACTAAACTCAATGTCGATTCTTCAATTAGGGGTTCGGGTGGTGAGAGGAGAGGAGCGCCTATAAGAAAATGGCCAGGAGTAAGCGCAACTAACTCATCAGGGTTATCAGACATTGGACACAGAGGCCGAGAATTCAAGCAAGCTTCGATTCGGGTCAAAACTGTTGAAAACTCTTCGAAGGTATACGACAGTGCTCTTGCGTGACGATAAAAATGCAACTTAAAGCTTTTGACAGCCGCTTCCCAAAGACCACCCATGTGGGGAGCCCCAGCAGGTATGAACTGCCAAGTAAGTTCTTGATACCCTAAAGCTGAACAAACTGTGTCTCGACATTCACGAATAAAGATTCTAAAGTTCTGTTCAATTTTACGAGAAGCCCCAACAAAATTGGTTCCGTTATCAGAAAATAGTGATTTTGGACAGCCACGGCGGCCTATAAATCGGTGAAATGTAGCCAGAAAAGTGGCAGTTGATAAATCAGACGCTGCTTCTAAATGGACCGCTTTGGTTGCAAAACAAACAAAGACGCAAACGTACCCTTTGGAAATGCGGCAGGCACGACCAGAAAACGACTTAATATCAAACGGACCCGCAAAGTCCACACCAGTGGTAGTGAAAGGTCGATTAACTGAAGTTCTTTCCGGTGGAAGTGCAGCCATGAGTGGAGGACTTGCCCGATTTTTTTCAAGCAAACAAACCTTACAACGACTGATCACTGTTCGAATTAGGATTTTTACCCGAGGTATCCAATACTCCATCCGTATGAGGCGTAGCATAAGTTGGTTTCCTCCATGGACTGATTTAGAGTGAGTGAAATCAATAAGGAGGCGAGTAAAACGACACGAATACGGCAAAATAATTGGATATTTTTCTGCGTAGGACAAAGTAGCAGACTTTACTAAACGTCCATTCAATCGCATAACACCAAATTCGTCAAAAACTGGATTTAAAGATAGCAGGGGACTATTAGAGGGTAAGGATCGCTTTTCGAGAAGGCATTTGTACTCATTGGCATAGTGAACTTTTTGCGCTAATATAATTAAACGAGTTTTTACCCTACAAATTTCAGCAGATTCAATGACTTTACTATTGAAAACAAATTGGCTACGAAATTTTGGGTGAGTTCTATGATAAAATCTGGGGACATACGATAATCAAAAGGCGAACTTCTGGCTTTTTTATGCTGATTTCGTTGACAAATATAGCCAAATATGGTAGACAAGCAACTCATATAGATGACTCTAAATTTGGAGATGCAGGGGGGCCTCTTGCTTTTGGGATGATCGTAAAATATTTAGGGGTTCAAATGAACCAAAAATAGAAAAAATTTCCTGATCACACAATTGAAGCCAATCGACACGCCTGAGAAAAAAGTTAAGGGCAGGGAAAAATGCTAGCATTTTGGATGACTATTGGATTATATTTAGCTGTAAAATGGATAGCTAAAAATTCTCGGCTATATTTAACATTTATGGATCTAGCGAAATCAGTAATTTGTGATACGAAACTATTGTTGTCCAATCAAAGGTACGGTACCTGCATCAACTTATTGTTGTGATTGCTTGAAGAGGAGACATACGTAAAACTGGGTGTTGATATGAAAGGTATAAAAAAGCAAAATAAAAACACAAATGATTAGTTTTTAATCCAAATAAGTTTGCTGGTCAAAGACAAGTGAACGCAGAGGTTCTAAGTGATCGCAGAGGATCCCTTGTCTATTTCTAATACATATGCAAATGCAGACAAGTGAACGCAGAGGTTCTAAGTGATCGCTGAGGATCCCTTGTCTCATTTTTAGTACATTTACAACTATTTGAGTGTATCGAGGTGAGCAACAAAAACAACAACTCAGACAATTCAAATACCACTACCTCCTCGGAGATAGTTTGTAGAGGAGTTGTCAGTGATGTCAATCAGCTTCGGTAATTGCTTAAGCTGAAGTTGCAGGACAACGTATCTAACATATACATTGCCGCCCACCTTGATACATATATCCATATGAATCAACAACATATACCTAGAGATATTCATAAATTTAGATAAATACATTGATATAAACATGTTTGACGTAAGTTCAGTTCATTTTGAGCATTTTATTAATTTTAATTCATATTTTAACATTTTTTTTTTTTTTTTTGTTTTTCAAAAAGTGACAGTTTAAGAAAACTACAATTATAATGGCACAGGACCCGATATTATCCAACCAAATTTAGTATATATTGCTGTAGGAAGACCAGGGTTGGAAATGACGCGCGGTTCTACTATTTTATGATAAATTTCTGGCCCAAGTACCATAGCGATTGGACCAGCGCGATCAAAATTAGGATCTGCTAATTCGAGACCTACAAACGAATCGCGTATGTTAGGAGGAGCCGAAAAGGAAGGTGTCACGCCACGTGTTATGTTTGCGACGCTAGCGGTTACAAATTGTCTCTGCGACGGATCAAAACGTGACATAATCATAAAATCCGCGTAAGTCATATGATTAACTGACGTGGTAGGCCAACGAAGATCATTAACAAGTGACACACAGACTTGACTTACGGGACAACAAGGATCTAATAATGCCCGTACCGCAACGGTTGACTTAGGCAAACAGAGACGAACAACAACAGTGGGGAACAGGGACATTATGCGACCTATCGGTAACATCAATGTGGGTAAAACGTGTCTCGGTGGTACTGGAAACGTACCTCGCGGAACAATGGATTTGTGGGTGCGTTGTGCCGTGTCCAAGTTCTTCGTACGCGGAGCTTCATGCAATAATGTGTGGTGCTTCTTCGTACAAAATTTGCACCTTTGACTAATTTGGCAGAATTTTGATACATGGTCCGGACGTAGACAGTTATAGCAGCAACGGTGGTATGTTACAGTCCGAATACGTTTTTCAAGCGCCATCCTTCGGAATACCGAACATTTCTGCAAAGCGTGAGGTTGGGTGCACAGCAGACACAGGACCATAGAATTTATAGGCGCGCGTCTGACGCGGGAAAGCGCTGCTGTAGCCACTGTTTGGGAGGGCTCAGAAATGGACGCACGGATGTCAGCAGCGGAGGTGGTCGGAACAAGTTCCACCACAGGATCACCATCTGGAACGGAACTATTTGGGTTGGTTGCCCTCAATTCCGCTTCTAGCTCGCGGTCGGACATCACCGCATCATCATAGTCGGACAAGACAACTTCTGGGAAAAGTTCCTGCGATGCCATAACTATTACAAATAAACACGACATCACACAAAGGATGAGAGTTAATTTGGGATGCTTAGTGTGGTAAGACGACTAACTTAACGACTGGTCGCCTGACAATACCCTGGTCCGTTCGTACATCCACTACACGAACATGACCATCATCACCGGGATGAATACCAACAACACGACCTAGTTTCCAAGAAGTGGGTGGCAATTTTTCATGCCGAATTACAACTAAATCATTAATCTCAACGTTTCTTTGAGGGTATTTCCACTTGTAGCGCTTATTTAAACTAAACAAGTATTCTTCTTTCCACCTTACACAAAACTGATGAGTTAAAGCTTTTAGTTTCCGAAAGCGATTGACTAAACTCAATGTCGATTCTTCAATTAGGGGTTCGGGTGGTGAGAGGAGAGGAGCGCCTATAAGAAAATGGCCAGGAGTAAGCGCAACTAACTCATCAGGGTTATCAGACATTGGACACAGAGGCCGAGAATTCAAGCAAGCTTCGATTCGGGTCAAAACTGTTGAAAACTCTTCGAAGGTATACGACAGTGCTCTTGCGTGACGATAAAAATGCAACTTAAAGCTTTTGACAGCCGCTTCCCAAAGACCACCCATGTGGGGAGCCCCAGCAGGTATGAACTGCCAAGTAAGTTCTTGATACCCTAAAGCTGAACAAACTGTGTCTCGACATTCACGAATAAAGATTCTAAAGTTCTGTTCAATTTTACGAGAAGCCCCAACAAAATTGGTTCCGTTATCAGAAAATAGTGATTTTGGACAGCCACGGCGGCCTATAAATCGGTGAAATGTAGCCAGAAAAGTGGCAGTTGATAAATCAGACGCTGCTTCTAAATGGACCGCTTTGGTTGCAAAACAAACAAAGACGCAAACGTACCCTTTGGAAATGCGGCAGGCACGACCAGAAAACGACTTAATATCAAACGGACCCGCAAAGTCCACTCCAGTGGTAGTGAAAGGTCGATTAACTGAAGTTCTTTCCGGTGGAAGTGCAGCCATGAGTGGAGGACTTGCCCGATTTTTTTCAAGCAAACAAACCTTACAACGACTGATCACTGTTCGAATTAGGATTTTTACCCGAGGTATCCAATACTCCATCCGTATGAGGCGTAGCATAAGTTGGTTTCCTCCATGGACTGATTTAGAGTGAGTGAAATCAATAAGGAGGCGAGTAAAACGACACGAATACGGCAAAATAATTGGATATTTTTCTGCGTAGGACAAAGTAGCAGACTTTACTAAACGTCCATTCAATCGCATAACACCAAATTCGTCTAAAACTGGATTTAAAGATAGCAGGGGACTATTAGAGGGTAAGGATCGCTTTTCGAGAAGGCATTTGTACTCATTGGCATAGTGAACTTTTTGCGCTAATATAATTAAACGAGTTTTTACCCTACAAATTTCAGCAGATTCAATGACTTTACTATTGAAAACAAATTGGCTACGAAATTTTGGGTGAGTTCTATGATAAAATCTGGGGACATACGATAATCAAAAGGCGAACTTCTGGCTTTTTTATGCTGATTTCGTTGACAAATATAGCCAAATATGGTAGACAAGCAACTCATATAGATGACTCTAAATTTGGAGATGCAGGGGGGCCTCTTGCTTTTGGGATGATCGTAAAATATTTAGGGGTTCAAATGAACCAAAAACAGAAAAAATTTCCTGATCACACAATTGAAGCCAATCGACACGCCTGAGAAAAAAGTTAAGGGCAGGGAAAAATGCTAGCATTTTGGATGACTATTGGATTATATTTAGCTGTAAAATGGATAGCTAAAAATTCTCGGCTATATTTAACATTTATGGATCTAGCGAAATCAGTAATTTGTGATACGAAACTATTGTTGTCCAATCAAAGGTACGGTACCTGCATCAACTTATTGTTGTGATTGCTTGAAGAGGAGACATACGTAAAACTGGGTGTTGATATGAAAGGTATAAAAAAGCAAAATAAAAACACAAATGATTAGTTTTTAATCCAAATAAGTTTGCTGGTCAAAGACAAGTGAACGCAGAGGTTCTAAGTGATCGCAGAGGATCCCTTGTCTATTTCTAATACATATGCAAATGCAGACAAGTGAACGCAGAGGTTCTAAGTGATCGCTGAGGATCCCTTGTCTCATTTTTAGTACATTTACAACTATTTGAGTGTATCGAGGTGAGCAACAAAAACAACAACTCAGACAATTCAAATACCACTACCTCCTCGGAGATAGTTTGTAGAGGAGTTGTCAGTGATGTCAATCAGCTTCGGTAATTGCTTAAGCTGAAGTTGCAGGACAACGTATCTAACATATACATTGCCGCCCACCTTGATACATATATCCATATGAATCAACAACATATACCTAGAGATATTCATAAATTTAGATAAATACATTGATATAAACATGTTTGACGTAAGTTCAGTTCATTTTGAGCATTTTATTAATTTTAATTCATATTTTAACATTTTTTTTTTTTTTTTTTGTTTTTCAAAAAGTGACAGTTTAAGAAAACTACAATTATAATGGCACAGGACCCGATATTATCCAACCAAATTTAGTATATATTGCTGTAGGAAGACCAGGGTTGGAAATGACGCGCGGTTCTACTATTTTATGATAAATTTCTGGCCCAAGTACCATAGCGATTGGACCAGCGCGATCAAAATTAGGATCTGCTAATTCGAGACCTACAAACGAATCGCGTATGTTAGGAGGAGCCGAAAAGGAAGGTGTCACGCCACGTGTTATGTTTGCGACGCTAGCGGTTACAAATTGTCTCTGCGACGGATCAAAACGTGACATAATCATAAAATCCGCGTAAGTCATATGATTAACTGACGTGGTAGGCCAACGAAGATCATTAACAAGTGACACACAGACTTGACTTACGGGACAACAAGGATCTAATAATGCCCGTACCGCAACGGTTGACTTAGGCAAACAGAGACGAACAACAACAGTGGGGAACAGGGACATTATGCGACCTATCGGTAACATCAATGTGGGTAAAACGTGTCTCGGTGGTACTGGAAACGTACCTCGCGGAACAATGGATTTGTGGGTGCGTTGTGCCGTGTCCAAGTTCTTCGTACGCGGAGCTTCATGCAATAATGTGTGGTGCTTCTTCGTACAAAATTTGCACCTTTGACTAATTTGGCAGAATTTTGATACATGGTCCGGACGTAGACAGTTATAGCAGCAACGGTGGTATGTTACAGTCCGAATACGATTTTCAAGCGCCATCCTTCGGAATACCGAACATTTCTGCAACGCGTGAGGTTGGGTGCACAGCAGACACAGGACCATAGAATTTATAGGCGCGCGTCTGACACGGGAAAGCGCTGCTGTAGCCACTGTTTGGGAGGGCTCAGAAATGGACGCACGGATGTCAGCAGCGGAGGTGGTCGGAACAAGTTCCACCACAGGATCACCATCTGGAACGGAACTATTTGGGTTGGTTGCCCTCAATTCCGCTTCTAGCTCGCGGTCGGACATCACCGCATCATCATAGTCGGACAAGACAACTTCTGGGAAAAGTTCCTGCGATGCCATAACTATTACAAATAAACACGACATCACACAAAGGATGAGAGTTAATTTGGGATGCTTAGTGTGGTAAGACGACTAACTTAACGACTGGTCGCCTGACAATACCCTGGTCCGTTCGTACATCCACTACACGAACATGACCATCATCACCGGGATGAATACCAACAACACGACCTAGTTTCCAAGAAGTGGGTGGCAATTTTTCATGCCGAATTACAACTAAATGATTAATCTCAACGTTTCTTTGAGGGTATTTCCACTTGTAGCGCTTATTTAAACTAAACAAGTATTCTTCTTTCCACCTTACACAAAACTGATGAGTTAAAGCATTTAGTTTCCGAAAGCGATTGACTAAACTCAATGTCGATTCTTCAATTAGGGGTTCGGGTGGTGAGAGGAGAGGAGCGCCTATAAGAAAATGGCCAGGAGTAAGCGCAACTAACTCATCAGGGTTATCAGACATTGGACACAGAGGCCGAGAATTCAAGCAAGCTTCGATTCGGGTCAAAACTGTTGAAAACTCTTCGAAGGTATACGACAGTGCTCTTGCGTGACGATAAAAATGCAACTTAAAGCTTTTGACAGCCGCTTCCCAAAGACCACCCATGTGGGGAGCCCCAGCAGGTATGAACTGCCAAGTAAGTTCTTGATACCCTAAAGCTGAACAAACTGTGTCTCGACATTCACGAATAAAGATTCTAAAGTTCTGTTCAATTTTACGAGAAGCCCCAACAAAATTGGTTCCGTTATCAGAAAATAGTGATTTTGGACAGCCACGGCGGCCTATAAATCGGTGAAATGTAGCCAGAAAAGTGGCAGTTGATAAATCAGACGCTGCTTCTAAATGGACCGCTTTGGTTGCAAAACAAACAAAGACGCAAACGTACCCTTTGGAAATGCGGCAGGCACGACCAGAAAACGATTTAATATCAAACGGACCCGCAAAGTCCACACCAGTGGTAGTGAAAGGTCGATTAACTGAAGTTCTTTCCGGTGGAAGTGCAGCCATGAGTGGAGGACTTGCCCGATTTTTTTCAAGCAAACAAACCTTACAACGACTGATCACTGTTCGAATTAGGATTTTTACCCGAGGTATCCAATACTCCATCCGTATGAGGCGTAGCATAAGTTGGTTTCCTCCATGGACTGATTTAGAGTGAGTGAAATCAATAAGGAGGCGAGTAAAACGACACGAATACGGCAAAATAATTGGATATTTTTCTGCGTAGGACAAAGTAGCAGACTTTACTAAACGTCCATTCAATCGCATAACACCAAATTCGTCTAAAACTGGATTTAAAGATAGCAGGGGACTATTAGAGGGTAAGGATCGCTTTTCGAGAAGGCATTTGTACTCATTGGCATAGTGAACTTTTTGCGCTAATATAATTAAACGAGTTTTTACCCTACAAATTTCAGCAGATTCAATGACTTTATTATTGAAAACAAATTGGCTACGAAATTTTGGGTGAGTTCTATGATAAAATCTGAGGACATACGATAATACTCGCAACGCCCTATAAAGAGATGAAAACAATTCGAGGAGATCTTCATGATTCGAGAAGAACGAAAAATGGGTTTTGACACTACGAGCTTCAAGTTCTGTTTCAATGTGATCAGGATCCGAAATATTCCAATCAGAATTATCTAAACTCAACCAACTGGGACCCTTCCACCAAAGGGAGGAATTAGCAAGCTCTAAAGGCGAAATACCACGACTTCCCAAATCAGCCGGGTTGTCCTCAGACCTAACATGAAACCAATGGGCACTTCCTACATTTTGTTGAATTCGACAGACTCTATTTGCCACGAATGTAGTCCATGAAGTGGGGGTTTACGCAGCCACGCTAACACAATAGTTGAATCTGTCCAACAGTTGATTTTATGAATTGGAATGTCTATCTCGCTCACAATAGGCTTTAAAAGATCTGACGCCAACACGGCCCCACACAACTCCAAACGCGGAAGTGAAACACATTTAATGGGTGCTACTCGTGTTTTTGAGGACAGCAAATTAACTTTAATTTCGCCATTTGAATCTTTTATACGAATATAAATTACCCCCGCGTATGCTTTCTCTGAGGCATCGGAAAAAACATGCAATTTAACTAAAGAAGTTTGTTTATAATGAACCCAACGCGGAATATTTATGGAATTTACTTGCGAGAACTTTTCAACAAAGGCGAGCCAAGAGGTTTTCGTTGCAACCAGAAGTGAATCGTCCCAACCGATGTTGTCTAACCACACCCTTTGCATAATTATTTTCGCAACGACAATAACAGGGGCTAACCATCCCACGGGATCAAACAATTTCGCTATGTGTGAAAGAACTTCCCGCTTGGAATAATCAGATTTAATAGGAATTGGATTCACACAAAAATAGAAAGAGTCTAAACTGGCATTCCACCTTATGCCCAATGGTTTAGAGCTACTTGCTTCTACAAAGGATAATACTTGTGCGTCAACTAAATGACTAGGGGGTAAACCAGCAAGAATAGACTTCTCATTAGAAGTCCATTTCCTCAACTCAAATTTAGCTGTGGCTAGAGAAGCAATGAGCTGGTTGCGAGCAAGTAATGCGGTTTCTATATCATGAGCACCAGCAAGAACGTCATCGACATACATACTTTTACGTAAGATCTTAGAAGCCAATGGATATTCTAATTCGCAATCGTCGGCGAGCTGAAGCAAAGTTCGAATGGCAAGATACGGCGCACAATTTACCCCAAATGTAACTGTTTGTAATTCATAGTCGCTAATGGAGTCATTAGGGGATTCTCTAAATAAAATTCTTTGGAAAGATGTATGGCTTGGGTGAAGGCGGATTTGACGATACATCTGAGTAATGTCACAATTAAACACAAAACGAAATAGACGCCATCGTAGAACTAAGAGGACTAAGTCGGCTCGGAGAGTTGGTCCAACATGCAGAATGTCGTTTAGACTTACGCCTGTAGACGTTTTATTTGACGCATTAAATACTACTCGTACTTTAGAAGTTCGTTTTTCTAGATTAACTACTGGGTGGTGGGGTAAATAGCAAACATTTGGCGCTGGTGAGGGGGAAACAGGTCGCATGTGACCTAAATCAAGATATTCGCGCACTACTGCGTCGTACATTTCCTTAAGGGAAGGTTTGCATAAGAGCGACTTTTCATTTCGAGCAAACTGTCTTAAGACATTCTGACGAGAATCACCTAGTTGCAATGACTGAGGAAATTCGCTACGAAAAGGAAGGGTGACAACATAACGACCTTCCGAGTTCCTCAAGGTGGTGGACTGATAATTCTCCTCGCAGATCTTGTCCGATGGCGAAAGAATTTTGCGTTTAGGAACCTCCTCTAGTTCCCAAAACTGCAGAAGAGTTTTGTTGATACTGTCTTCCTCACAAAAACTTAAGGTAGTTGTAAAGACCTGCAAAGGTGAGCAGGGAAGTGGGCCCGAAAGGATCCATCCGAAGACAGTATTTTGCGCCAGTAAAGAGCCGAAGATGTTTTGTTGTACCCCAGACAACAAAATTTGAGGATATAAGTCCGCACCCAACAACATATCCACTGGACGACAATCAAATATATGTGGATCAGCCAGTTGAAGATTAGGCAATGCTCGTGACCAAGAAGGATCTACCGAAAAGGAGGGAAGATTACCAGATATCTTAGGGAGAACAAAAGCTTCAGTATTCAACAAGATTGAAGAGTCAAATCGGGAACTAACACAAATAAGACAATTTTTCTTAGAGGTGACTGAAGTAGAACCATTTACCCCAGAAATGTTAGCGAGGGTGGAGCGACAAGACAATTTGATTCTATTTTGAAGGTGCTCAGTTATAAAGGTAGCCTCTGACGCAGGGTCAATGAGAGCTCGCACAGGATAAGACGTACCCTCGTGAAGAAGATTTACTATTGCAGTACCTAGAAGAACTTTGGCACTGTGCGAAGTATGGAAAACTTGACGATTGACTGTTGTAGGGTTTGCACCGGAGGACGTAGACGCAATATTATCTAGATTTGAGCTCAATTGAGTACTGGGAGCTGAAGGAGTTGTGTTGGGCACGATACTAGTTGTGGGCGCTGTTCTAGTTGGCTTATGTAACAGGGTATGATGCCTTGCACGGCATATATTACACGCATGTGTACTAGGACACCTATTTGACGAATGACCTCTAGATAAACAGTTAAAACATAAATTGTTCTTTTTTACAATGACTAGTTTCTGATCGAACGACAATGTCTTGAAACGAGGACATGAATAAGGAGCATGATTTTCATTGGGGCAGCATACACAACGTGGTTTAGGAAATGATTTTATAGTATCAGTCGAAGTTTTTGCCAAGTGGGCCTTAACGTTGCGTGAAGTTGGTCTAGAATCCTCAATACCTCGAATATCACGTAAACAGGCCAGCGTCTGAATTCTCTCTGTTAGGAAAGAATCGAGCTCGGACCATAACGATAAGGACGACTTATCTTTGAGACTCTGTTCCCAGAGTTCTACGGTAAGTTTAGGCAGACGCTGAAGACAAATAAAAACAAGAATGGGATCCCAATGATCCGTAACAATGTCATAAACTGACATGGCAGACAAACAACCGTTTATTCCCCCTTGTAAAGTTTTCAACCCAGAACTCGTTTCACTTGATAGAGATGGAAGTTCAAAAAGGACTTTCAAATGGCTATTTACAAGAATTCTTTTGTTGTCGTACGTATCTTGAAGCGATTTCCAAGCCAGAGAAAAACTTTTGTGCGTTAGTGGAAATTTAGATACAATTTCCTTAGCTTCGCCTTTCGTTTTTTGTACTAAATGTAATAACCTCTCAATATCGCTTAACCTAGAATTATTGATATACATCGCGGAAAAAAGGTCCCGGAAGGTGGGCCATGATAAAAAGTCTCCACGGAAATCCTCTATATCACAGGGAGGTAGATTGAGACTGTGCATTGTATTGGAAACGTTTGGCGGCAAACTCCAATTAGAAATGGATATATCAACAGGGTTCTGAATATCTTGGTGACCAGAGTTAGACAAAGCAGACAAATTTAAGCTGTGACTCGACATATTGCCAGTATTAGATGAGCCAGTCTGAGCCATATTAGGCCGATTAGGTGTACAACCAGTTTGTCGAAGATTCGAAGCTACATTACTTTGTGGTGTGCTAATGCTTAAAACTGTGGGAGTTGTTGGAGGAGATTTCACCGACTTCAAATTTAGCAACTTTTCATTAATTTCTGACAAGCAATCGATATAGTTTTGACACGTCGATTGGTATTTGGAATCCGCAGAAGAAATTTGATCGGTAGTCGTACCATCTAAAGTCATAAAATAATCAATACACTTATCATAAGTGTCTTTGACTTTACCCCATAAATCTTGAAGTTCCGTGCTCCGAATTTCGAGGTTGAAAACCGTATGGTTATCTGGATTTAACAAATGAAAAGAGGCAATAAACTTTACCACATTATCAGAAGCACGGATAAACTGAGTTAAGGGGGTAACCGACATTTTTTACAAGATTCTGTTTACTTTTCCCAGAAAGAAAAACAATTTCGAAATTCGTTTATAGAAGTCTAAACTGAGTTACGGAAAAGGTCAAAGTATCTTAACTCCAATGATATACTCTAATTAAAGCGCAGATCAAAGAGGGTGGAAATACTAAGATTCTGAAGAGGCTAACCACAATTCAAGGAAACCAACTAAAAGTAGGCAAACACACGGATTTTCTGCTGAAATCTCTATCAATGGTAGAAAAGTAGAGTCAGAAAAGCAATAAATTTCGAGAAATACTCCAAAAACAGTATAATATTTGTATAAATATTCCAAATGCAAAAAATTAAATAAAAAACACCAAATAATAACAATAATTAATATTTCTGTTCGTACCAATTGTAGAATGTACGAGTTACAATCGCCACTATTTTTATTATTTTTATTATTATTATTATTATTATTATTATTATTATTAATATTATTAGTATTATTATTATTTACGAAAATTAATAAATTGTATTGATAAATGTTTAAAAATATATATTAATCTACAACACAATTTACTAGGGTATTTTTGTTAATCTTCTAAAATCACTTTGAAAATTAAATATTTGAAAATTTTGAAAAAAAAAAATCATTTAAGAATTTTGCTATTGAAATTCACAATTTTTTCCATACGGACCCACTGTGCAGTGGTGAATTACGAATGCCGCACAAAAGAAAATAAAACACAAGCAGTGTTTGTAGGTCAGACGGTGACGGGGGTGGGTTAACTACCACACTATGAACTGACCGACGACAATGGTAGCAACGGATATCGCACAAAGGAAAATAAAACACAAGCAGTGTTTGATGGTCGGACGGTGACGGGGATAGTTAGCTACCACATTACAAGTCGACCGATTACAACGAACCAACAGTGAGAGTTGGGGAGAAAAATAAATCGAGAGTGTGTTAGTGTGTAGTTGAACCGACGCTTGGAAAAAAACCGCTTGAAATATTGGCGTTAATATTGTTGAGAGCGATGAGAAATGAAAAAACCAACAAATGATCTCTCAACAAAGCACTGACTTGGTGGTGGTGGATTGAAATAAACAAACAGAAACTAAAGCACTGTATGACGGCAATTTAGTTAAATTAAGCAAATGAATTTGCGAGTAGATAACACTTTATTGTATTGAAATAATTAACCAATTATTTTGAAAACCAAAATTAAAATAAAAGTGATTTTAAAAGAACTTAAACAGGGGTTTAGGCACTTCCAAAAAAAGACAGGATTAAATTTTAGTGGACTGTATAGCAAAATACCGCGAGATAGGGTGTACCAAAGGCGACCAGTACCGACAAACAAATTAGAAAAACAACACTTTTTCACTTTTTCTTTTTGCAATGCTCACAATAATAAAATGCACTGAACTTACGTACCTGTTTTATGATGTTTTGATGAGATTGGTGGAGGATGGTTGATGCAAATTGTGAGGGGGGAAGTGCTGTGGATGATTCCTTTGGTAAAGAAAAGAAAAAAACGTCAATTAATATCCAGGCAAACTTTTCGCTTTCCAAAAATCCGGCTCGATGCGACCAAATGTTGATATGAAAGGTATAAAAAAGCAAAATAAAAACACAAATGATTAGTTTTTAATCCAAATAAGTTTGCTGGTTTATTGAATTCGGATTTTATTTTCTTTTCTACAAATAATTACCTTTTGGTATGTGAAGTGGCGACAGAGGCCTTGATGCTTAAGCTTTCGATACTCAAAGACAAGTGAACGCAGAGGTTCTAAGTGATCGCAGAGGATCCCTTGTCTATTTCTAATACATATGCAAATGCAGACAAGTGAACGCAGAGGTTCTAAGTGATCGCTGAGGATCCCTTGTCTCATTTTTAGTACATTTACAACTATTTGAGTGTATCGAGGTGAGCAACAAAAACAACAACTCAGACAATTCAAATACCACTACCTCCTCGGAGATAGTTTGTAGAGGAGTTGTCAGTGATGTCAATCAGCTTCGGTAATTGCTTAAGCTGAAGTTGCAGGACAACGTATCTAACATATACACTGGGTAAGGGTTATTGTTAGTCTTTTCCCCAAAAGAAGGAGTATGTGCCTTTCAGTCTCTCTTGGAAATTTATTCAATGGAAGTTTTTGTTTTTTTAAAGAGGTGTTGCACCAAACAAAGTGAGTAAATTCAACTTATTTAGTAACGTTTATCTATAAATATTACTAGCTGGTCCGATTCGCGTTGCCAGCCCGTACTTTTAGTCTTTAATGCATATTTTTTAAAGCATAATCAATCACAGATCTCACTTATGTAAGCGGCACAATCTTTATTATAGGTAATGACCCCATAGTAATTTCGAAATAGAAATAAATATTCATGGCATAAATTATAAAAGGATATTCACCTACCGTCGGTTTCAGGTATTTTGAATAACCTAATCTTATCTTTCAGTCATAGGCTTTAATTTAAATGTTAAAAACTTATACAATATAGAGTATCTATGATAGCCCCATGTGAAAATTCAGCTCAATTTTTGGTATTGTAAAGAGCTTAGAGCAACATTTTCCACTCAAATGAATGTATTTCCAACTTTTAGAATACCGTGCTGGGTGGTATTTAGTTTTATCCACCTCACCCATTACCGTAAAATGGGAATTAATTTTTTGGGTAATTTAAATTGTGCGTTGGAGGCCCCATAAAACCCCCATTTTCGGTCCCGTACTACTAATAATTCGTAATTGTTTTCATGTTTCTGCCACAATTACCGACTGAATGAGTCCCAGTTTGACATTCTGAAGTTTATTTCATAGACGTACATCCCAAATCTACGTTCCTTAATCAATATTCTCTTGGAGGTTACAAATTCAATAGAATACAAAATTTTATTTTCCGACCACACATTAATTGAGACAGTGGACTGGGGGGTACACTTATGTCAGGACTATATAAATACCTATGGGGACAATTACCTGTAAGATGGTTCTTATCCCCAGAATAGCTTAAATACAATTTTTTAACCAAATCAATTGATGAATATTGTCAAGACCAAGATGGCTCCTATTCCAAATTGAAAATTTTCTGCGAAGAGGTTTTCAACCCTTAAAAATAAAGAGGTCAAATAAGGGCAAAAAGAATGAAAAAAGTGGTCAATACCCCGAAAATAGCTTGAAAGATTAGGAAGAATTTCTGAAAGGATATAAATCCTTTTCTTACTAAATGTCAAATTCGCTCTACTACTTTGCACCCTTTATATTCGGTATTTCACTGATTGCAGTTCCAATGAATTTTACATTTTGAGTTCTTATTGGACAGATTATTGTCACATGAAAGAAGTAGGTCCACGTTTTGAAATGAGCCCAATTAACGCTTTGTCGATCATGTTTGTTTGCTTAAATGTGTTCGCATCTTCCAGCTAAAGCACGATGTAGGTCCTGGAGTTGAAAGCTAGATTATTTATTCAGAATTCAAAACATAAAAAATGTACACTTCAATATATAATTGAAAATTTTCACGCCAAAAACATGTTTTCATTCACATTTTTATTGGAATATTTTTACGCGATCTTTCTACCAAGATTGTATGAATTGTCATTCTTGAGTTATGAGCGTAGTAACTAACATAACCCTCTTTTTATACCCTACAATACTTTGTGCTGGGGGTATTATAAGTTTGATTGTGCCAAAAATTCCCACATAGGAAAGTATATATGGATCTTCCTATCTCGCCGAGTTGAGTCGATCTAGCTATGTATGTCCGTCCGTCCGTCTGTTCATGTTAATTTGTAATCACTCTGCAGGTGGCAATTATGGCCCGACGTTTAATATATATATACGTTTATATATATATATATATATATATATATATATATATATATATATATATATATATATATATATATATAAGTTAATAACAATAATATTTAAATAATAATTTCATTTCAAATTAATCTGCTATGTCTGCAGTTTTGACTCCAATAGTCAATGAACTCTTCCATGCTCTCGTTACTTTATTATTTCGACACTCGATATGTTTCCGCTATTAACATGCGCAGCTATTTTTTGCTGACGCAACGTCTGCAAAATTAGGCATTGCAAGTGTTCTGATTAATGCGTCGCAAAAGCATAAATAATAAAATATTTTAAGTTTAATTTCCAAATAACAAGATGATGAGTTCAAGTAACATTTTACTTATGTAAGTCATATTCTAATTATAATTTCTATTATTATCATATTAAAAAAGAGATATCTTATTTCGTACTCTGTAAAAATTGTTCCCAAACTTCGTTTTAAAAAAAAAAAAAAAAAAAAAAAAAAAAAAAATTATGCCTAACCCTAACGTCATAAGACCTCCTGTCCTTAACGCTCCTATCCCCAATCCAAATCCAGCGCTACAAATTAATGAGGAGTTAGAAAATAGAATAGCCGCCATTTGTGAGCAACAATGTAGGAATTTAGTTCAGGCACTTATAAATCCTAATAATGACCTTAACCACGGGACAGACCAAAACATTAACGACAGATATAGGAATGACCTAAGTGATCTAGACAAAATACCGGATATCGTCAGAAGTCTTAGAGATTTCTCCGGTAATCCCATGGAATTTAATTCCTGGAAGAAAAGTGTTGACCGTGTTTTACAAATTTACGATTCATGCAAAGGCACTCCTAAGTATTACGGAATTCTAAGCGTTATCCGTAACAAAATAACAGGCAACGCTGACATCGCTTTAGAATCTTACAATACTCCTTTAAATTGGAACTGCATTGTAAAGTGTCTATCAATGCACTATGCAGATAAACGGGATCTAGGAACACTAGAATACCAGATGACTTCTTTGATACAAGGTAGAAATACCATCCAAGTATTTTATCAAGAAGTCTACACTCATTTATCTTTAATACTTAATAAAATAGGATGTATGGATATGAGTCAAGAATCCTTGAAACTTTTAACACAAACGTACAGAGACAAAGCCCTAGATACCTTTGTACGAGGATTAAATGGTGATTTACCAAGACTCCTTGGCATTCGGGAACCCGCGGATCTCCCGCAAGCCTTGCATCTCTGTTTAAAACTAGAGAATCAAAATTATAGAACTGAGTACGCAAACAAGCACCAAAATCAAAGACAACGTCAACCACCACCCCTTCCAATACGCAATGCAAATACTATCCAAAGACAACCCTTTTATCCAGAACTGACATATCAAAATTTTAACCAGTACAATAGACCATTGAATCACCAAACCATCCCAAATTTAATTTTCGACCAAATCCTCAACCGCGTTTTCAATTGCATCAACCTTTTCCACCACAAAGACCAATAGCACCAAAACCTCAAAGGCCTCAACCTATGGAAGTTGACCAATCAATTCATACAAGAAATGTTAACTACCAAAAATCAAGGAATTTACAAGTACGCTGAATCCTATGATCAAGATCAACAAGACGAAATGTCCACTCTAAATTTCACTGATATCCATTTTTTAGGCTAACGCATTCTTCGCTCCCATATTTTGAATGCAAAGCGAAGAATGGCAAAATTTTAAAAATTCTTATAGATACTGGATCTAATAAAAATTATATCCAACCATGTTTTGTTAATAATCCTATCAAAAATGAAAACATCTTTTATGCAAATTCAGTCTCTGGAGATATCAAAATCACACACCACACATTCGCAAACTTATTCAACTTACACAACCACCCAATAAAATTTTATATCCTACCTTCCTTGAAATCCTTTCATGGCATTCTTGGTCATGACAGCTTAAAAGAATTAAATGCAATTATCCATATTAAAGAAAAATATTTGTTAATAAATAATAGAACTAAGATAAAAATTCATCAACACATTTCCCAGTCGGTTAACAAAATGGAATTCAGAACCAATCATATGAACGAAACTCAAAAATCTCTGTTAGATCAAATTATAAAAGAGCATCCTAACCTTTTCACAGATCCTAATAAAAAACTTACATACACTTCTCAAGTTCAAGGAGAAATCCGAACCCTCTCAGATTCACCAATCTATTCTAAGTCGTACCCCTATCCCATGTCATTGAAAAACGAAGTAGAAAAACAGATTAATGAACTATTAACTGATGGAATCATTAGACCCTCTAGATCTCCGTATAATGCACCCGTTTGGATCGTTCCAAAGAAAATGGATGCCTCTGGAGAGAAAAAATATAGAATGGTCATTGACTACAGGAAGCTGAACGCAGTAACTGTGGCCGATAGGTATCCCATTCCAGAAATCAATGAAGTTCTCGCAAATTTGGGTAAAAACAAGTACTTCACAGTTGTTGACTTAAAGAGTGGTTTTCACCAGATACCTTTAAGAGAATGCGACGTAGAAAAAACCGCCTTTTCCATAAATAACGGCAAATTTGAGTTTGTACGACTCCCATTCGGTTTGAAAAATGCTCCATCAATCTTTCAACGTACTCTCGACGATGTCTTGAGAGACTACATTGGAAAAATATGCTATGTCTATATAGACGATATTGTCATCTTTTCAAAAAATGAGAAAGAACATTTCGAAAACCTGAGAAAAATATTCCAAACACTAGAATTGGCAAACTTCAAAATTCAACTAGATAAATGCGAATTTCTCAAAACAGAGGTTGAATTTCTAGGCTTTATTGTAGGAGCTGAAGGAATCAAAGCAAACCAAAATAAAATAGAAGCAATAGCCAATATAGCACCACCTAAAACCCTGAAAGATTTGAGAAGTTTTCTAGGTATGTCAGGTTATTACCGTCGTTTCATAAAGGATTATGCGAAGCTTGCCAAACCCCTGACATCCCTTTTAAGAGGGGAGGAAGCAGGAAAGTAAACATTTATACAGACCATCAACCTTTAACGTATGCTCTCAGCAGTAAAAACACAAACAGCAAAATGAAAAGATGGAAGTCCATCTTAGAAGAATACAACTACGAACTTAAATATCAGCCAGGCCGAACAAATGTCGTTGCAGATTCGCTATCCAGACCACCACAAATAAATTTTATGACAGCAACACAACATAGCGATGA